TCTCTCAGTTTAACTTTGATTCACAGTACTATAGTAGCACGTTCATCTTCCTTTGGCACATCATTGGCACCATTATCTAAATTGTGGCATATTTCTATTTAACTGGTGCCTACTGGCCTTAATAGTCTCACCACACTTGCTTTATAAAGCTCCTCCTTTGGAAGCAGAGTAAAAGGGCTTGAACACTCAAAGATCATACTATGTTCACTTTTGAAATCATACTATGTTGACATTTCGGGCCCGTATTATTGATGGTAAATAAACTCTTGCTTAAGGGGTCCAGTTGGTCTCCAGCCTTTTACTTCCACCCTTTCTTGGACAAGCTGAAAAACACTAGGTTGACCAAATTGTTCAAGATCTAAAAGATCTAATTAGGCTTATTTATGCATTTTTTATGTAAAGGTCTTGACAAACTGTTGATCGAAAGAACAAGATCATGGATACAAGTGGCCGAAATGAGTTTCCACTGCACTGCAGAGTGGCTGGGTGCTCCCTTGAGGAAAACCCAGTCACACAGGAGGAGCTCGGAGTAGAGCCGTTGCTCCTCCACGTTGAGAGGAGCCAGCTGAGGTGGCTTGGGCATCTGTTCTGTATGCCTCCTGGGTGCCTCCCTTGGGAGGCGTCCCACCAGAAGGAGGCCCCATGGAAGAGCCAGGACACACTGGAGGGAGTCTCTGGGCTGGCCTAGGAATGCCTCAGGGTCCCCCCAGAGGAGCTGGAGGAAGTGTGTGTGTGTGGAAAGGGAGGTCTGGGCCTCCCTGCTCAGACTACTGCCCCCATGACTCAGCCCTGGATAAAGCAGAAGAAAATGGATGAATGGAATTAATAAATTATATTTATTATAAAATTATAATAATTATATATCTATATCTATCTATCTATCAATCTCTATATATAGATAAAGATATATAACACATTTTTAAAAAAATAATTAATGTGTGACCAACTACCTTCCACGGTGGTTGGTCTACCAGAGGCCTGGGAGCTTGAGAGTTCTGTGCAGTATCTTTGCTGTTCCCAGTTCTGCACTTTTCTGGACTGAGATGTCTGTTGTTTTTCCTGGTATCTGTTGTAGTCTCTTCCAGTTTGGGGGTTACAGCCCCGAGTGCTACAATCAACACAGGCACCACTGATGCCTTCACTTTCCAGGCTCTCTCCAGCTCCTCCTTGAGCCCCCGGTATTTCTCTAGTTTCTCATGTTCCGTTTTCCTGATATTACCATCGCTTGATATTGTGATGTCCACCACCACAGCTCTGCTCTGTTTCTTATCCACCACCACTATATGTCTGGTTGGTTCGCCATCACCATCCTGTCAGTCTGTATCTGGAAGTCCCACAGGATCGGTTGTTCTCCACAACCTTTGGAGGTGTTTCCCACCTTGATCCTGGGGTCTCCAGCCCGTACTCTGCACAGATGTTTCTGTACACTCTGCCCGACACTTGGTTATGTCGCTCCATGTTTGTTTCCCTGCAGCATCTTACACCCTGCAGTTCTGTGCTGGACTGTCTCAGGAGCCTCTTTGCACAGTCTACACCGTGGGTCTTGTCTGGTGTGGTAGATCTGGGCCTCTGTTGCTCGAGTGCCCAGGGCCTGCTCCTGAGCAGTCAGGATCAGTGCCTCTTTGTGTCCTTCAGACCAGCCCTCTCAAGACATTGGTAGGATTTCTTGATATCAGCCGCTTCAGTGATGTTCCGGTATAGGGGCTTGTCCTGCCATGCCATATATATATATATATATATATAGAAGTGTTTAAAAAGTGCAACCACGAAGAGTCATTCTGAGTCATGTACCAACCAATCAGACATTAATCAGACATTCACACAATATATTCATGGTGGTGTTGGTGAAGTGCGCTGCCCAAGGAACCAACAAAAGAATGCCAAGCCAAAAGAATGCCAGCATGCCATTTCAATTAAACTGCTAGACTTTAGAGTCTGAGCCAACATTTCTACTTACTGATTTACCCAATAGTGGAGTGATTTAAATAATTCTGATGTGAAACGAAATCTGATGCCAACTGAAAGATTAAGTCGTCTCAATACCTTTTTGGAAAACAAGAGAAAGAAGACTGATAGAAAGTTGATGTTGCCCGTAGCTGAGAGATTGGCAGGGAATGTAGCAGGTACATATTTCTCTTAGAATTGAAGTGACACCCGCAGTTACAGAGAAGAGTTCAAATTTAGTGAAAGGCTTATATCAGAAATCTCTCTCAAGTGCCTGTGTAGCTCTTACACTCAAAAGGAAGCTAAACTGTATGACAAATATTGTGAGCAAAAGCTACATTTACAACATTTAGCAGCACTACTTTGATAAATGATTTTTTACAGTGACATCACGTGGAGGTGCATGTATGTCTTGTGGCGGAATGTTCAGCAGTTACCATGATGACGCATTAGCAAACACAGCCAAAAAAGTTTTAACAGCTCAAGAGAAAATATAAAACAGATCAACACAACACAATTTAAAGAGTGATCAAAACAATTGTTCATGGTCCATTTGGGTGTTTGATTTTCAACAAAAAGGTTAGAGTGACTAATTGAAAAACTGCTGACGTGTGACTGTAATTCTGTTTGAAAGGGACTTGTTGAACAGCACAAAGCGTCTCTCCTGTTTTAGTTCCAGCTCAGTCAGTTCTTTATGGTCAGATTATGTAAAAAATAAAAATAAAAAAAGCTCCTATTCAAGTCCAGCAAAGCCTCAGTCAGAACACCAAAACCTCCAGGGAATGTTGATGACAGTAGTTGCAAAGTATAAATTAGAAGAATCTAGAACGCAGTCTTCACCGGTCCTCTCAGTCTTCTCAGCCCACACACTGCGTCAGTATTCTAATATGGATGTGAATAAACATGCTCTGTCAAAGGGAGCATATGGCATCAAAACATGAGCACCACATTCACGTGTTTAAGGTGACCAAATGTCCAAATGTTACCGAGACAGTCCCAGTTTTGAGCCCTGTGTCCCCTGCCCCAGCACATTTATACAAAACCACAGATTTGTCCCAGTTTTATACAAGAAATGTCCCAGGTGTCCCTATTTTTGACCAATTTGATCCCTGCCACCAGTAAAGAGAGACATAAATTGTCATCTGTTTAAGTAAAATACAGAAAAGCTACTTAAAAATGACCAAAACACAAAGAAAATGTGACTACACTGACTCACGTTAGTCACGAGTGGTCTCTGCATTACAATTTTCTTTAATTACTCACTCATTTCACAGTTTTATTATTACCAACCACTACAAACTAGGAATGTCCCAGTTTTTTATTTTGAAAATCTGGTCACTGAAATCATGATACAAAACAAATCAGTCAACAACTTTACTAATGTTTTGACCTTTGGGAACGTCAGCTCATATTACACAGTTACACAGTTGAGATTTTATTAATCATAGCAGAAGTAGAAAGTTTACGCTTCAAGAAGTGTTGTTTTTACACTCCGCAGTGCTATAGGCTATAAATGAGCAAGTAACTTTCAAGTTTGCACTAAAAGCTCTTGGTTGTTAGTTGATGACAGTAAAATAAGACTGCAGTTCCTTTTATAACCGTACCACCCAAACTTCCCTTTTAGGTTCCAAAATAGATGAATGAATGGTGCGTTTTTTATCTAATTGTTATGATCTTGGTATTTTTAGATTAGGACGAGGCTGATTGAGGATGCATAAAATGTATTTAGGTGACCAAACATCCCTATTTACCCGGGACAGTCCCAGTTTTGAGCCTGTGTCCCATGTCCCAGTAGATTTATCCAAAACCAGTGATTTGTCCCAGTTTTATAGAAGAAATGTTCCAGGTGTCCCTATTTATTATTACAGAAAAGCTCCTTAAAAATGACCAAAACACAAAGAAAATGTGACTATACTGACTCACACGTTAGTCATGAATGGTCTCTGCAGAACAGTTTTCTTTACTTACACACTCGTTTCACAATTTTATTATTACCAACCACCAAAAAAAAAAAAAAAAAAAGAAAGAAAACGGGGATGTCCCAATTTTTTATTTTGAAATTCTGGTCACCCTGACTAATCTAATAGATGGAATGAAAAATAAAATACCAGACGAATCCTGCGTGCCCACTACCACAGTTTAGAACCTCAAGTTTTGTTTTTTTGTTTTTTGTTTTGTTTGTTTTCTTGTTTTTGTTTTGTTTTTTATGTTTGCATGTGTGAATTTGACCTTCGAGACAAGGACCCGCGCACCTTGGTTGTTTCTCTCACCCTTGACTCTGATTTTCCCTGACTACCTGGCTTTATGCTCCTGGCAGGTGTCCGTTCGTGGCGGTCTGCGGCAGTTTAGCCCCCTCCTCTCGGTCCATCCTCCCCCGCTCCCCTCCGTGCGTACTCCCACCTCCGCGCTCCCCTCGCCGCGCAGACATCGTTTCACACGTCAGCCTCCGGGCACCGCGGCAGCTCGGGCGACAGACGGGAGACATTTCCACACCCCGCGGGCTCCTCATCATCTGATACAAGAAGAAACAGCGTATTTTTTAACAAACACAGCTCTCCGTGTCTTCTTCCTCGCCTTTTCCATCTCCTCCGCTGGAACGGCGGCGCGTTAATCGTGCCAGTGCCACCAACTACTACGACCTTCCACCTGCGAATGGAAATTACCTTTAGTTGTACCACTGAAAGCCTATAATAAGTCATTCTACTCCGAGACAGCTGGGAAAGGATTTTTAATTCAATAGAAGCCATTTTGTAAAGCTGACATAGCTGAAGGCGACGCGCAGGAGACGGGCGAACAACCTGTTAGCTTCTCCCCGCGGAGGCGAACGCGAAAGCCCCATTCCGATCCACTTCCACCAACTTACCGTTCATTTCGGCTCTTTTAATCACCACTGCCGCGTACCGTTTGCATTGCTTTCTCCCGAGGTGGTCATGAAAGGCTGCGCGGACCCTGTGGCGACCTCCCGGGAAGGCTGAAGTTCGAGTGAAAAGGGAGGAGGAGGAGGAGTGAAGAAGGTCGATAAGGTGTTAGTGCGTCTACGAGAAAAGGGCAACAGCATGCCCGCCGCCGTGCACCTGTCCGCCGGGATGCTGCTGCTGCTGCTGACCTCCTGCCTCGCCGGGGACCAGGTGGTGGCGAGTAAGTGGCAGGACGCGGTCATATTTCCAGCACATTTCCATTCACACACAGGACGGTGATAGATGATAGAGTGGGTTAGGGGCTTTAGACAGGTGGGCACATTTCACATTTTCAGAGCCTATTTCTTGCTGGAACTGTTTTGCTTTCCAGGTCATTTTTATGTTCATTACTGCTAAGGCCTGTTTAATCTAAAATTTTAAATGATCAATTAGGCCAGTTCAAATGTAGGATTATGAGTGGGTAATACTGACAAAAATATATCTGTGTTTTTGTATGTTTTTGCATTATCCCAATAATAATATTCTGATGATATTATTATTATGGGTGTGCAAAAATATTTAAATATCGATATATAGTATTGTTTAATGTGATGATACAGTATCGATATCCTGGTCTGCTGTATCGATATATCTCCAAGAGTATTTTTTGGTATATTTTACTGAATTATTTTGTTACAGCTACAGTTTTGTTGTTTGTTTAGAGGAAGGACACTCGTTTATGTGATACATTTGACATTTTCACAGTTTTGATGATTAAAATGTTTGTGTTTCATATGAACTTTGCACAAGAAGTGGTTTAACAAAGACTTTTAGTATCACAGATATGATTTTGACTTTATTTTTTATTGAACTGCATCGAATCCATTTGAAATATGGATCGAATCGTATCGTATCCAACTGAAAGCCAATCGAATCGTATCCAACTGAAAGCTCACTGTATCGAGATATGTATCGTATCGTGATCTATGTATTGAGATATGTATCGTATCATGATGTATGTATCGTATCGGCAACTTCTTAATGACACCCAGCCTTAATCATAATTATGGCAATCCATCAGATGTGCCAGTAAATGTCTTGGTTCAGCTTGAGTGCAGAAATAGGTAACTTTCTAACTGTTTTGGCTACTTACACTAGAAGTTTCTGTTCATTTTATTTTTAGCTCTTTTTGCAGCTGTTGTAAATTGTTATTAGGCCCATAGATGATATAGGCCACTCAGTCACTACCCCAGGTCTGTGATATGTGCCCCTTTTTGAACCTAGAATGCCATTACACTCACTTAGTATTGCCCTGCAGGTGTAAGATTTGCAATTTAAATCCGAGTCCAGCTGTGACTTCTTGCAGTGACCAGGGTTTTATGGACATCCATTCTGACTAAATGAATCACAGTCGATCCCATGGTAACAGCGAGACAGCAGTTGTTGGGAGTATTTTGTATTCTGAGCTGTTCGTCCTGGGGCTAAATGTTTTTGGCTTTGTGGAAGCTCTCCTGAACTCACACTTGAACTTGGTTTCAAAGGAGGGCACGATCTCTTCTCTATTACTGGAGTAAACACTCATTATCCCTGCTCTGATCCATCTGCTCCAGGAACACGCTGAAAATATATTACAAAGAAAGGAATCACTTATGCAAAAAGAGCTCAGGACATAACGTGAAGTGGTTTCGTTATTCCAACTGTATTCTAAAATATTTTATATAAACTTGTGCTTAAAGGTGAACTATGCAGGTTTTCTAGTGAGGGGTTTGTCACCTGCTTGCCTCCCTGGAGATGTCATTTTTTTGCCTGGAATGTGTCTTAAATTCACTCAGGTGTTCTCATTTACACCTAAAATTCGTGGAGTCAGTGGGGTTCCCTCTCTACTCAGTCAGAGCTGTAAAATGGCTTGGTAGTATCATCTCCTTGACTCTAGTGAGATACACAAGTTTAACACTATACTGTGAAACATTTCAGGCACAGCAACGACATCTCCATCAATTCAGGAAAGTGGCGGACCCTCCAGCAGAAAAGCTCCACAGTGCACAACAAATACATAATAGTTTATAGACATTAACAGCTGTATTTCTCTGTTAAATTTTCACCCCAGGTTCATTGGTAGCAGTGGGTCAGTGATGTAATGAAAGATGATTTGTTAAAGAAAAATCTCCTCTTGGCTTAGAGTCTAGACACGATGCTTGTTACGAAGAGGAGATGAAAGGTTGAGGGGAATTAAGGTTCTGCTTAAAACAGCCAGGGTAAGGAGAAAAAGAGTGCGGCTTTAAAAAGGTGATACATTTCTCACGACACAACTCACAGAGCCAGCAGACTGACTGGGATACAGTGATACTGCCGTTTAATACAGCCATATCTCCAACTATTTTCTATTTGTGTTTCTTTCACATTTGGGTGTTGAATAAACTTTGACACTACTTAAATATTGCCATTCATCACCCTGCTTAGTTCAGCTCTGCCGATATACTGTTCTTGATTGTTTTGTCTATATTGGCTCCTTAAATCTTATGGAGATTCTGAGAAACTCATTTCTATTCATTAGCTGGGCCTCCGTGTGGTGCCACTTAAATCATCTGCAGCACATGCTCCCGTGTACCTCACACATGGCCATGTAAACCTGCACCCCCTCCACCCCCCACCCCCCCGGCTCCATGCCAGCAGCCACTAATCTGCCTTTATGGGCCGTGCTATTGATTAGGCCAACCTAGAGTGGCTTAACATGTGCACGCTCACGACGCCAACGTTTGCATTCCAAGAACCACTCTTGAGAAATATGAACCGTCTTGATGGTTCAGCGAGTCACATGCCTGATTTAATGCCTTATAAAAGTCTTAATTTCATTTCTATTGATTTATAAGAATTTGGGCTTTGAGAAAATATCAATTCAAGCTTTTTCACTAATGAAAAATTGAACAATGTAATCAATAAGTGTTAAATAAATCAGAGTGATTGTCCTGACCTATGAACTGCCTTGCTGTCAATGTGCTGGTGCATAATATGAATCTGTACAGTGTGCTGTGCTGACACAGCGCTCCGATAAAAGGACTGTTCATCATAATCACTGACAGCGTGGGCTCTAATGATGATAATACATTTATAATACAATGTAGGAAAGGAACAAAAGAACTTCTCCTACATGGTAATTGTACAAATACCAGCTAGTCCTTACTAACCTGCAACCTTGAAACTGAAAACTTGAAACTTAACCACACGATGATGTGGAGCACATGGCCACATTACAAGCCATCCTTATTGTATAGTAATAAGATAAGTTTATGTTGACTTTAACTTAAACTTAAAGAAACACTGGGAAATGAGTGAGCAATGTGTAATTATAAGTGTATTGATTGAATAAACTGTATCAGAGAGATCCCTGATAAGCCCTGACCTTGGCTGATAAAGGAAATCAGAGTGAAAGACTGAAGAGGCTTATGGCTCTGCTGCTGTGGTAGAGATGGGGCATAGGGCAACTATAATGGCACACAGGAGGGAGGGAGAATGTGCTTATATTTATGTTTTTAGGTTCTTTTATTCAGACCAAGAGTTTGTTTTCATAGCTGACAGTTTTTTCTGCTCCCTGCGCTCTTCCACAGAGTCTCGTGATGTTGCTATAACGTGTCACTCAGATGATTTAAACAGGTTTTGGCGCTGTCTTCCTACTGGAGGAGACAGGACGACAGCGCCACCTGCAGTCCCACTTCCTCAGGACAGTATCCCAGGTGTGTGAGAGTAAAAAAGCCCCTCGTCCCAGTTTATAGTCCTGTGGGCAAGTTTCAGTATTTTGATTGCCTCTTTAATCCAGTGACAATGTTTGTTGTTTTCCATCCCACTCCATAAAGTGCTCCTCTCTTTTACAGTGTCACAAACGGCTGATTTGAGTTGTTCTTGTTCTGCTTTGTGTTTTGTTGTTCGTGTTTTGCCTTCACTGTTTCCTTCTCGAATTTTGTCCTTATATGTTTATATATGAATGATTTCAGAGGAGCTTGGATGACCAGAGGATCAGTTAGGATCAGTCCTTCCTGGCTACACAAAACTACACATTTTATTCTGGAATAAAGTAGAGCCAATACCAGCAACTGCTACACCCTTTATTACCAAAGCTTTTGATTTTGCTTCATGTCGAACTGATGCTGTAATTACTTTTTTTTTTTCTTTGATGCACAATCCCACTTATCCATTTCATTTTCAAGTTAATTATTTCTATGATTTGTCAAGTACCTTAAAACCTCTCTTGCTCTACCTCCATTCAGTCTGATCATGTGTTAGTGACCTGGGAAGCTCTCCTCTCCTGTTGCATTAGATCAGCCAAAGCCAGCTGGAGACCCACATCTGAGCTAACAGAAAAATAAATGGAGAAGCAGATTGAGAGGAGCAGTGGAGCCTGAGGGGATGGTGCACTTCTATAGCCTCCCGGGGCCACGTTTGACATCCATGCGCTGCTCGGCACATCTTCAAAACCCTTCACCCAGTTGTTAGATTCTGGATTCATCACAAAAGTACATTTATCTCCCAGCGTGCAGCTATATATGATTTGGCAGCGCTAATAGCTTGTGCCATATATCAGCTGTCACATGAAATGGCACGTACAAGCCCGGTGTCACCCGCTAAAGTGATGTGATTGGATGGACTCGGCGGATCAGGAAATGTCAGCTAGCTTTATGGAGACAGAAAATCTAGTCGGAATTAATTGTGACTTTTGAAGTTTGGAGATCTGGTTTTCTTTCTCTGCAGGGTATATGAAATTTGAAGTGCTTTAACATTTCAAGACTACTTTGAGATGGTCTTTTTCTGGCACTTAACTAAAAACACTTTAAAACCACTTTTGTTAGATTGTTTTGTATTATGCAAATTTACTTTTTGGAGCTTTCTATCATGTAATAACATGCCCTTATCAAAAACATGCCTGAAAAGGTTTAATATGTCAGAATCAAGCACTACTCAAACCCTTAAAAACTACTATGTTGCACGCTGATTGTGATAGCACTTTGAAGGGGGAGTGACTTAGCAAGGAGAGGGGGAACTTAGAGCATCAGAAATGAAACTGAAATGCAGCATTTTCAAAACGATAATCATGGTGATCTAAATATGTTATATATTAGTATTTAATAGCCAAAAGAAGTGCAATACCCCCTCTTTAAACACTGTTACAGTAAACTACTTTAGAATGACAGAATTATCCAAGAACCTCAAGGCAATTTAGTGGCGTCACTGTCAGATCGTAACCACCAA